TACATGTAATTATCATGAACTTTAGTAACGGCTTTTGATAATGTCGATAATAACATACTTGTCCACGAGTTCCACAACTGTTATGGAATCAGCATTTGGACTTTGGAAGATCTTCGAGGAACAACACAGACAGCGGCAATAATAGGGGGATATCTGGAATACTTGACATAAGGCGTCTCACTTACATTGCACAAAAGGGTTTTGACATAGTTTACCAAAGCCTCGTGGTCCACACACTCCATAAGTATGTAAATCAATAAAGAATCGACCCAATACACAGACTCTACTTTCTCCATAGACCCTAAACAGGTCTCGACCACCTCGCTGACTTTTAAAACCACGTGGGTTGACCATTATTTTTCCTCTCTCAGTGTTAGGATGTTGCTGTTTTTACAACAGAAACAAGCGGAGCAACATCATTTACATTCAGCAGACAATACCAGTAGGTATATGTACCCAGAGACCTGATAGAGAACTGCCTTACATACCGTACCCATCTACAGAGGCGATACCCGATATGGAATGGCGGCTTGAGGGTATCAAGAATCGGCTGAGTTAACACCCATGTACGTGGCTCAGAGAAACTATCCCCATGATTCTTCAATGAAACGGGTCGGTAGATTTCATCTGCACCCGTGCTAATTTTTTCAGTACACTTTTGACGCAGAACAAGTGCCGACTTACTGAAAAATGCAAAAATCACTGCAGTCTTCAAGAAACGATTCAAGACTAACCCAAATAAATATCGCCATGTATCATTATTTAGCGAACGGTGCAATGTCATGGAGCACATCGTATTTAGTTTAGTGGTCATCTCAATAATAGAAACATATAAGTGAACTAACAGTGTGACTATTAGAACGATCATTAGTGTGAAGCAAAGCTTCTTACATCTATAGAGACAGTCTGAGACGGGGACGACAAATATAACAGATAGATTGGACAATCCTTGATTTTCCCACCGTTTTTGATACAGACCCTCTTAGAGGTCTACTTCAGACAACGCAATAGTGACTCTTTGAGAGTCGTCTCGCCTCTATGCACAAATGTAATGCTTTAATTTTCAGTCTGCCTTTAGATGACCACCGGTTTACATTGGTCATTACACCAGACGAACGAGAGGTCAACACGAAAGGAACCTCTCACAGATATTTTCTAACCCGAACAGTAACCGTTTATTAGCTGTTGCAACCCGGAGTGGAACAGCTTACCAGCAGAGGTCGCCGGACAACACACAGTGGAGTCAAATACGGCGTGATTCCATCCCAAACGTCACAGACACTCTGCAATGATGTGACAAAATACTCCACAAACTCTTAGACAGAACGCAAGATTGAAGAAATCATGACGATATCCTTCTTCCTCAAAAAGGCGTAAAACCCGAATTCTTCTCGTACCCCATCCCCCGGAGTCGCCTTTTTGAAATAACCATGTCCCAGTTGTTATCAATAACCTTGACTAGTTTTAACAACTTTTTATCGAGCTTATCGAAACTTTACTCTAAGGTCAAACTTTACAGTATCTTATACTTGTTTATATAGACTTATATACATACTGTATCACAGAAGCAGATTTATAATACACTCGAGTTCGATATCAGTCATATCTATATACTGAGCAGTTTTTTGAATTTCATATATGATTTGATCTCCTTCTTTCTTTCTATATTTCCCACGGAGCATGATATTTAAAACGAATTTGTTTCAACAGTATCAAACAAGGAACGTAATTTAATATTTTTATTACTTTGAGCTTTGCAGCTTATTTGGCATATCTTGGTATCTTACTTGGATAATGCATATGACACTATTTTCTCACAAATATTTCCTTATTTTTCCTTGTTTACTGTACTGGGTTGTAACATCACGAGTGTCACACATGGTCACAGACATACTTTCGGGTCCTTCTTTTACTTCCGGTCAATGTATCATCGTAGTTACCACTGGTCGCTCCATCTGGGTCTAATATATATGTACATGTGCTGTCGGTCATAGTCATTTGCACGTGTTTTTATTTTGCTTTTTCTTCCTGGTGCCGCGCTAGTGTCCATAGGGTAGGGAAGGTACTTTTATCTAGTGAAAAAATATTTATTACGGCACTCCGATTTCGAAAGTAATTTCCTGCAATTACATTTCCTCAGTGATGTTAATTTCGTTAAATTTAACTTCACAACGCCAATCACTTCGGCGGCCTTTATGCCTTTCAATGGACTTTTGTAAAAGCGTGTATGATACATATTTGCTGTGTGTTTGTGAGTCGATGTGTTGATCATGTTAATTATATATACACATTAACAGGAAGTGTTTTGACTTTTCAGTCCTAGATCCGCCAGGTAATCACGTGTGGTTGATGAATAATAATGACAGTGTAAAACTCGCTGTCAAAAGTTGTTCGTTTAAATATAGGTAATGATATAAAGACAAGGCCTAACTGTACGATATATAACTCTTGTTACTGCTTTTATCACAGGCATACATGTCAAAATCACTTATTGTAATTTACGAAGTTAGACGATAATGATATTATTTACACGTAATATATTTTACATATGGTTTAGAATACTGTAAGCATGTCGTTTTATGTTTGTGTCGCCTGCAACGCGAGGTGACATATAGGTATTACTTTGTCGTCGTCGGTTACGTCGTCCGAAACAAGGTTCACGTGCGATAACTTGAGTTACCCTGGATTGATTGAACTCAAACTTCGTACAGTGCTTCTTACTAAAAGTGCTTGCTTGAGATTACTTTTCAGGTCCAAAAGGTCAAAGGTCAAGGTCACCGCTACTATAAATAGAAATCCTGTTTCCGTGCGATAAATTGAGTTTTTTTAAGCCAGTCGAGCTCAGATTTTATACAGTGCTTTCCTACCAATATATATATATATAGTGCTTGCTTGGGATTGCTTTTCATGTCCGAAGGTCAAAGGTCAAGGTGACCGTTATTATACATAGACAACCTGTTGCCGTGCGATAACTTGAGTTTCTTTAAGTTGATCGAGATCAGACTTCATACAGTGCTTCCTTACCAATAATGCTATCTCGGGATTGCTTTACATTTCCGAAAGGTCAAGGTCACAATTACTACAAATAGAAAATATGTTTCCGTGCAATAAGTTGAGTTCTTTATGATCGATTGAACTCAATCTTATCTTTGAATAGGTGTTAACTTTGTTGTCCTATGCCGGATAGATTCCTAGATAACTTATCTGATTTGTATCACGCTCACCTACAGTGCTCCCTTGTGTCGGTACCCGGAAGTATAGTACCGTCTGTCGATATCGGAACTCTAAGTAACGGTTAAGTGGTTCAATCTCTCACCTATTATAACAGAAATTTATTACAATTTTTATCAACAGTTTGTTTTCCGTTACCGGAGTTTCTTTAAAGGACATGAGCAGTGACAACTTGTTTTTGTATCTGATATCTGCAGATTTTTTATTTGCGTTTCTTTTTTCTGCTATAAACACGAATCGTTATCAGGAGTTACTGACGAAAAGCCTTCCTTTTTGTCGGTTACGTAATAATTGGTCAGTAGTGATATATGTATTACTATGCCTGTCTGTGATTTTCCCAAATGTCAATTGTGAAATTCGGTGGCCAAAGTTACAAGGAAATAATACAAAAACACAGGTTGTATCTTTGAACCTATACTGATGTGAAGGAACAATAATTATTAAACGTTTTAGGAGTTAAGATCAACACTATGAAAGGCTATCCCATAATGATATACAATAAGTATGGTTCGTCATCTTTTTTTTATATCCTAAACCCTAAAACGTCTAACAATGCTCCCTACACGACAGGATAGAAATAAACATACATCATATGTTATGTTCTTAGGTTTCTGTGACCATTATCACCACAACAATATATCAAATGAAAGGCACTTCACTTAAAATGTTACTTAAGACATTGGCGGGTATTTTTTCATATTGAGTAGATTGACTATATCTTTGTTTTACCTTTTGATATCAAATTATGATATTTTACGTTGAATATTTCACTTTTCGGTATTCCTACGTTTTTGGTAGATCATAAGACAACCTCAAGCAGAAAAATATATTTGTGACACATCGATTAGCACAAGCAGTCATGACCCCCTCCCCTCCCCTCCCCTCCCCCCAGGCAGTGCAGTTCTCGATGTGATACACAATAAACACCGTGTATCTTATAAAGAACACAGAATTAAACTATAAGTTTCTAAACCAATATTTTATTATGCGTTATTTGCAATGTATAGTGTTTACCTCAACGATAACTATAGACAATATTTGATATACACATACATTTTCATTAAGCATATTTTTACTAGCCTATCTCTGTATCCCGAGTCGCTTTTGACAAACTAGCATAACAACATGATCATGGCGAGCTAGGATTTCTATTTGATGGGGTGAATCTGATCTGACGTGTACAATTACGTCCGCTTCTGACATTTTACACACAATTGAAATACACGTATGTGTATCAAACTGCTAGTCATTTTTATAAATATTGCATAATTTGCTCAACAGGTCCCATTGGGCAACTTGGCATAACAAAAGAACAGTTATTCAATAGCATATAACCATCATGTGATATCATTAAAAATGTACGTATGATATACTGCTGAATGATAACTAGATAGGTCACACACACACGCACACACACGTAGATTACACACGTTCACAGCCGGAAGCTTTGAAGTGTATTTAAGCCCAACACGCGGTCATTATATACGCTTATAGAGCATTTCACAGATCATCAGCTAACATCAGAAACGACACAGTCCGGAACCTGATCATTAATATCTGTGCTAATTAATACTTTTTCGTATATTTCAGAGTTTCTGCATTTTGAAGACTGAAGGACATCATTACAATGACGGGTNGAGTTTCTGCATTTTGAAGATTGAAGGACATCATTACAATGACGGGTAAGCTTAACACAATTTGTATCAAATTTAATATTGATTTGTCATTATTATTAATCGCTGTTATATACCATTGAAGTTTAACATAAGTGCAACGGGTCTCAAAAAAATGTCTTAAATAGGTGTTGAAGTGATGTTTAATGTTGTGATTTTACATATGATGACAGTGCATCCGTAGTTCGGCGTCATATCTTTTTACAATACCTCTTCTTAAACCCCAGAGTAACAGTTTGAGATCCATATTTATTTTATGATCTTCAAAACATGGAGTATAGGTATATACATAAGTTCTGATGTTATCAAGTTCGTTTAAGTTACGTACGTTGAATTCGACTGAATCTGAAAGTCGTGGAAATAAAACATTCAATACGCTTGAGCGATACGTACAGTTCCTTTGAACCTATGAAACAATTTGATTATGTAATATCCGCGAGTTGTTTGTGAACATAAAAATAAGTGTATTCAGCAAATACGGATGCATTTTTCTAGACCTTACTATATGTATAGACCCTATGTAGACCTTTATACATGTCCCTGACCCACAGGTCAAGCGTTGATGACAGGGTCTGGAAATGACTCAAAGTAGGTCTCCTATATAGAAATGTTATACACAGTACCTGCATAGAATGTAAATTACATCTGTATTTAGCATACCGACAATTTTATCTTGTGTGAAACATCTTGCCTTTCAATTTAACGGCAGTCCTAGCATTAATTGTATTGTACGTACGGCATCATTTATTGACTTCACATACATTTACTATCACATACACATCCCTAAGGGTTTACTTTGATCTCATTGGTGTGGTCAATGGCAAGGAAGGTATTGACAGCTGTACATGTGTACACAGTGTGACCAAACTCTGGACCATCCTCATAGGGATCAAGTTGGTAAAAATACATGACAATTGTCATGGATGCAATACTTGGTTAATTGGATGGCATATGCAGATATCAAATGAATTGTCAAATATTAAATTTCTTCACTTTCCAACGTGCATACATGTATATGTAAATAAAGACCAACTTAACATGTGTTATCTTTGTATAATCTATATGTTTGACCTGTGTGATAATAAGTAGTGTTACATATGTACGGCTGGTCGACTTTATGTGTTAGCTATCCTGTACGATAATAGGTACTTTGACACATTCGCCTCAGTAAGACTTCATGTGTAGCCTAGGATGGCAGTGAATGAAGGACATCACTAATCTGTGATAAGTGAACTGTATGTAACGTATGTTTAACATTCCAGGGTTGATTAAACAGAAGCAGTACGATTGGAAAGACTCGAACCTCGCCCTGTTTGGCTCGGACACCGACAGACAGGTCAAAAGTAGGTAGTCGTCCACTCGACATTATATGTCAGACAGGCGTTTGTTTATTTAAATCACCGGAACACCTCCGTCGGTAAACTTATTATCAACGGCATTCGGACCAGTCCAATGACAGACCTTTCATCAACATTAACATTCGGAACACCCAGGCCGATTCACTCAATTTAATGATGAAATGTACTGCAATCGGGGCGAGGTGTACCAAATGCAACAATTGACCGAAATGAATCAGCCGAGGTGCTCCGAATGTATCGATGGATGTGTTCCGAATGGCCCCATTTGGATTCTGAACTGGAAGAGAAAAAAACATCACCTGTTGAGCTATCCTCAGTGCTATTCTTTTGGTTAAAATTGAAAACAAAATCTTGAACTACTTGTGGGTAAACTTTTTTTTATAGTTTCGTGTATATTACCTAATTCTCTGAAAGTTTCCTACTTTCGTTATTTTTAATGAATCACGTACAATGCATATAAAAAAGAAAGTTATTGGTCTGTCTGACATTTATTGGCAAAACACTCCTACCAAATCAAGGAAGAAATATTTTAGATAAAGGCTATACACCAAGTTATCTATATTATTACCAAGGTCATTTTTGTAAAATATTTGTTAAAGACATTTTCAAAGTGAAATGTTTCATAAAAATTACAAAAACACCCTAGCAGGAGTGGAACTTTACATTACGAAGCCTACACTGAACAAACGTTGCCATACAGCATTTTTGTAGTATTTGTAAGCTTTTTAGCCCATGAATGGGACCCTCATTCTTTTAGTTGCTAAATGTTCTATAAAGAAGGAAGATACCCTCGAACCGTTAATAAATGTGTACACCACAAAAAATATCACCGATCCAGTGTTAGCAAGTTTGTATTTCCTCCTGATCTCACATGTCATATCCTTCATTCTGTTATAAAATCCGAATATCTGTGGAATGCTAATTTTGTATATGGTAGACACAAATCATCTAGTTTCTGGCCTTTAGAACATAAACGTATACAATATACCTTTAATTCTGTTGTTTTCTTGGTTATAAAGCATGTTTTTACGATTAACTGCTTAGTTTTATGTTATCAAATTATCATGTTAAAACAGTACTCTTGTATTTATAGAGGAGTCTGCGGAAACTGAGCCTGCATGGAAGAAGGCTGGAGAGAAAGTGGGCATACAGATCTGGAGGATCGTGGTAGGTGGCTCTAGTACTAGTGTTGTCACTGCTAATATAGTACTAGTATATAAACAATGTAGGTGGCGCTGGTGTAGTCACTGCTAATATAGTACTAGTATAAACAATGTAGGTGGCGCTGGTGTAGTCCGAATTATTCTGACGTTTCATCGACTTTTTTTTTATATCGGACAGACCGATGTAAAAAAAGTCGATAAAACGTCAGAATAATTCGGACCAGCGCTGGTGTTGTTACTTTTAATAAAGTATATTACAATAAAACAATGCAGGCGGCGCTGGTGTCGCTACTAGTAAGACAAAATAGTGTAGGTGACACTGTTGTCAATGCACTAGTAAAATTATTGTTCGTTAAAGCTAGTAAGAGGAAGCTGTTTCGGATTACACTTTGTTTTGATATTCTGATAAATCGATTATCAGATGAACGATTTTCAACTTTACACTTTCTGATAATATGTTTTTCTTTAATTTTTCAAACGGACTTAATCTAATCTAACTAAACTGTTTAGTAGTGCTTTTAGGGATTTTGTTAAAATTCAGGTTGTTTTGTTCATAGAAATTCAAAGTTACCCACTGGCCAAAAGAAGATTACGGCAAGTTTTACGATGGTGATTCCTACATCATCCTCAATGTAAGTAGTATCTAGACCTTTACAATGTCTTAATCGTAAACACATGTCTAAACCAAACCCTCTTTAATAACTGATGCACTTGTATAAACCATATCATTAGTTTGGTCTCAATTAATACGTTTTAATCTATGCAAAGCCTTCTGGTTGAAGGAAGTGCTTCGTCAACGTTCCATATGTTTTGTTACGTGATCTACACCAACCTAAGACAGAATAGCAAGCATGATTTCTTGGACGAAGTCGTAACAGCTCATCAACACAGTAACGGATGATAGAAAAGGGTTAACATATAGCAAGCCAAATCTATCTTTATTGAAGGAGCAATGTCGATCCTGTAAATCATAAATTTATATGAGAAATCTTATATCTTTTATAAGATTTCTCGTAAACTATTCCGTCTTTGCGTATTGTAGAGTTATCTTCTCTTGAGAGCAGGTATTGATTGTTACGTCATTGGTTCGTGTGAGGAAATTACGTCGTTTTCTCAAACATTGATGACGTTACTCTCACAAACAAATGACGTAACAATCAATACCTGCTCTCAAGAGAAGATAACTCTGCAATATGCAAAGACGGAATATGCATGAAGAGATCTTATGTTTTTGAGAAGTGTGTGACATAATGTGATATGTATATCTTAATGGTGCTGTCTTATTAAAGCCTAATAAAGGGACCGATTGCCACGAAAATTTTGTACTGTCGCTATTACTTCTTTGCTTATATGTATTCATAAGAATTCTTACATATTTCTATGAGATATTTGATCGACATTGCTCTTTGAATAATGTAAAGTGGGGTTGCTATATTAAATTTCAACAGCAGGTGCGCATGGATTCTGGAAGTAAAAGTATTTAGGGGTTAAGCAGATCTGGTTTCTAAATTATCCTTTGTGACGAGGTCACATATAGGAAAAATCTTGCTTTTGCAGCAGGGGATGAGGGATACATTGGTTACCTTTTACCATCACGGATAGGGATAAAGTAGGTAATTTAACCAGATTTTTTTTTCAATGTTTTAGACATTTCAAGAAGAAGGGGGAGAGGAATTTCTCTACGATGTGCACTTCTGGATTGGCAAATACAGCACACAGGTAAGGCATTACAATATAACCAAGTACACCACACATGTAAGGCATTACAATATACCCGAGTACAACACACAGGTAAGGCATTACAATATAGGCGAGTACAACACGCAGGTAAGGCTTTAAAATAAAGCCAAGTACAGCACACAGGTAAGGCTTTAAAATATAGCCAAGTACAGCACACAGGTAAGGCATTACAATATAGCCAAGTACAACACACAGGTAAGGCATTACAATATAGCCAAGTACAACACATAGGTAAGGTATTACAATATAGCCAAGTACAACACACAGGTAATGCATTACAATATAGCCAAGTACAACACATAGGTAAGGTATTACAATATAGCCAAGTACACCACATAGGTAAAGCATTACAATATAGCCGAGTACAACACATAGGTAAGGCATTACACTATAGCCAAGTACAACACATAGGTAAAGCATTACAATATAGCCGAGTACAACACATAGGTAAGGCATTACAATATAGCCAAGTACAGCACACAGGTAAGGCATTACAATATAGCCTAGTACAACACATAGGTAAAGCATTACAATATAGCCGAGTACAACACACAGGTAAGGCATTACAATATAGCCAAGTACAACACACAGGTAAGGCATTACAATATAGCCGAGTACAACACATAGGTAAGGCATTAAAGTATAGCCGAGTACAACACACAGGTAAAGCATTACAATATAGGCTAGTAAAACACACAGGTAAGGCATTACACTATAGCCAAGTACAACACACAAGTAAGGCATTACAATATAGCCGAGTACAGCACACAGGTAAGGCAT